ATATATATATTAAAAGGCAAATGGGAAAACCCATGAAACAGCAAACGGCCACATAACGCAAAACTATTTAAAATATATATATACAGGTGTGAAACTATTCCCCGCCGGACACCATCCCGGTATTTCTGAGGAATATTGCATCCATAGTAATATAACTTGGTGGCCGACGATCGTATCGGGAAGATCGTCGATACGCTCTGCTGCTGCTGCCCTGCCCTGTTCTTATTTTGGGCGGTTAGCCCTACACGGTTGTACTGATTAAATAATAATGTTGTAACTGTTGAAAATGCCCTATTTTCATTTATTTTTTTATATTACTAAGTAGGCCTAACAATTGGGTATTAAAGTAGGACTTTTTTTAATGATAGGCTCTAGGCTAGGCCCAAGGTGTAGGCTAGCCAGCCTTTGTTGAAAGGGCACTTCATGAAAAGGGGGGGGGTTCGTTCGCACTCAACGAACCCCCTGGCTACGGGCTTGGCCGTCATTTTATAATTCCATAATGATATCGTCGCTATAGTCTTCAGTCTCACATAGCATAATCATAATCTTCATAATCATATTAGTATCATAATCATCATCCTCACAATCATTAGTTTCGTAATCATTATCGTAACCCCCATCATCGTCCACCACAACCATCAGTATCACCATCAATATCATCGTCGTCGTCGCCTATAACAAACATTTGTAATCTAGGCTACGAGCCTGGTCTGGTTTATCAAAATGCATCAAAGGTAAAGGTTTGTAATACCTGTGTATTATTAATGTATAAAAATGCAGGACAACGAATTATGTTTTCTGCATAATTTCTCAGAGGCCCTAACGAGACATCCATAGGCAGCGGCGTATCTAGGATGTGCACGGGGGGTCGTAAGCCCCTCCAAAAATTACTCCTCCCCCCCCCCCACAAAGAAAATAACGGTCAAGTAGTTAAAGATGACCTAAGATCAATGCCGTAGCCAGGATTTGCAAACAGTCCGAGACAGTATCAGGTGGACCCATTTTATGCGTAAATTCAAATAATGTGGACCCATTTTCTTAAACGTTAACCCATTTTATGCAATAATATTAATAATAATATGAAAAAACTGTACCCATTTTCTAAAATTTTACCCGTTTTTGGCTAAGTATGAGAAATCTGTAACCATTTCTCAAAAGTGGACTCATTTTATGCATAGGCCTACTATTGCATAATTTGGACCTTTTTTAAAAAAAATGTGAACCCATTCTTTGGGGTGTCTATAAAACGAAGACCAAGGGTCTTCGTTTTATAGGCACCCCATTCTTTGTGGACACGTTAGAAAAATTGTGTGGGACTTTACCAATAGCTGGCTACGGCATTGCCTAATAAATTACCTTATTTTGCGAGTTAGCGCCCCTCTTGCCATCGTCACGTCTTCACTTTCCGCTCATACCGTAATTTACCGCATTTACTTCGTAGTTTTATGACATTTAAAAATTATGTGCTGTAGGCTATTCATTACTTGATAATAATCATTTGCTCCAGCTCACTTGATAAAATCGTCTGGATTCCATATCAGTCTAACCATGGAGGAATTAGACCAGGGCTAACGAATGAATCTATTCTATTAGGCTTAATTTATCCTGTTATTCCTGCAGATAATGTGATGTTAGGCGCGTATTGTTATGTGAAATAATAGGCTATAAAAGAACTTGGTGTTTATACCTGCTCTACATTGAAATATAATTTGTTACAATTAGTCTGAACTATGACGCAATTAATCCATGTATCTTCTAGTTTATGCAACAAGTTAATCGACATTTTTGTCACAATTATAAGGCATGCACGCCATCGATTTCGACATTAATTATGTCATCATCAGGAATTCATTCCATTATGAGGCATGATGTATACAAAATGTAACGTGATAATTTATTATATTTCACTCATGTAACTGCAAAGTTTAACATTTCTTAACAGGTTATCTAGTAGGCCTATTGTTGCATATCAATAGTGGCAAAAAATGTTAGCGTGTCTTAACACAGGAGAGAATAATTTGCTAATAAGTTTTGAATAGGAATATTAGGTGGCACTCACAGACTGGCGTCATCATTTTATTTCCAGAATAATACTTTATCCTGCTTTATCCTATCTTTTTTTCTCCACAGAAACCGCGCCTGTTGCAGCGCGTAATAATATTATGATTAAAGTTTGGTTTTTTTTTTAAATGCAATGGGATCTGTGTTCAATTATAACAACGCATCCACCTTCAGCATAACGATTGCATTTTGCGTTTGTTGCGCGTCATTTTATGTCGGTCACACTTGAAATAGCGGTGCAAGCGTTACTTTTTTTTGCATTTGCGTAAGCTCGCCAGAATTACCCTAATGTGAACCAAGATTTACATTGCACGTGCTCGACGTTCGTATAAAGCTTGATTTATACATGGAGAAATTAGTTTAGTTTTCCTCCATGATTTATAGTAGCGCGTTTCAAACACGAAAAAGAGTAAAGTGACGCGGCTGTGTATGTCTTCGTTCCGAAAATTACAAGACCCCTTCCAAAGTACCAAGACAAAGCTTGGACTGGAACTATCAAGACCACCTAAAATGTTGAGTTCTAAGGTGGTCTCGAGACCTCTAATTGGAGACCACGTTTTCAAAAACCAAATGACCTTCAAGAGCACTTTCAAAGGTAACCCCTCTAATTGATTCCCGAACCCCAATACCACTCCGAATTTTCGCGTCCCAAAGGTGGTCTCGGAGTAGAGGGTATACACTGTAGTAAGTCATAGACCTGTGGGTTCAAGCCATTTTGTATATTATTCGTTTGCATTAGTACTGCTACTGGTAAGCGTCTTTACTTTAAGAAGGAAACCATTGTAAAAACGAACGAGAACGTTGGATATTAATAATTTTTTTTAAATATTAGATAAGGTTCGGTAAAAAGCCGTAATAACATCAAGTCAAGTGTAGTTTTTTTAAATTTCGATTTAATAAGCCAATCGTGAATAATTAAATTGTTACTATATATTATGCTGACAAGTCAACAAGTCTTTCCATCACTTTCTATCTACCCAAGATATTCCCGATACTTATTACAGTCGATAATCTCCGTCATTATCGTTATCATTTGATTTATCATTACCTTATAATGACAGCATGTCACTCTTATATTTTTACCTGAAATTGTTACTCAGAAGCTTCTGAATGAGAGGTTATGCGTTTTTTGCCATTTCTCGTTTTGCTGTTCTGTTTTGTGCGTTTTTAAAATTTTATCATGTGCTCTCCTTTTTAGAGGTTTATTGAATAAATTGAATTGAATTTTTCGTTATCACTTCTGCATCAGAACAGAACATTGATTCGCTAAAAGCTTCGTCGTCAATGTGCGCACGGTGATCGTTGCCATGTGAACGGTGAGTAGGTTAACTAGCCTCCTCAGTTACCGAACATTTATAAAATAGAGACGGTGGGAGGAAGGATGCTATGGCAGGTTCTCTACCAATTCTTACCTTGCTAGTCTTTCAGGCTAATATTCGTGGGTACATTGCAGGTTTGTTTTTTAAGTCTATTATTAGTCAAACGTTTCATTGTTTACTTACAGCTTTCATATAATGTTACATTTAGCTTACACGTTATAAAAACAATTTGCCATAATTAAGGTACAATTTGTATATAT